GGGTCTCCCAAGGGATTTTGGGGATTTTGGGGTCTCCAAAGGGATTTTGGGAATTTTGGGGTCTCCCAAGGGGATTTCGTGGTCTCCCAGGGATTTGGGGTGTGGGGTCTCCCAGGGATTTGGGGTGTGGGGTCTCCCAGGGATTTTGGGAATTTGGGGTCTCCCCGGGATTTTGGGATTTTGGGGTCTCCCAGGGATTTTGGCTGAAGGGATTTTTGGGGTGTGGGGTCTCCCAGGGATTTGGGGTCTCCCAGGGAATTTGGGGTCTCCCAGGGATTTTGGGATTTTGGGGCTCCCCGTGCTGACCCCCCCGTCCCGCCCCCTGTCTCAGATTTGCTGTTCAAGTTCCTGGTGATCGGCAGCGCCGGCACCGGCAAGTCCTGCCTGCTGCACCACTTCATCGACAGCAAGTGTACGGCGCCCCGCCGCGGGATCCGGGATGCGGGATTTCGGGGATTTGGGGATTCGGGATTCGGGATTCGGGAATTCGGGGATTCTGGATTTGGGCATTTCGGGATTCCGGGATTCGGGATTCGGGATTTGGGAATTCGGGGATTCCGGGATTCGGGATTCGAGATTCAGAGATTCGGGATTCGGGGATTCGGGATTTGGGGATTCTGGGATTCGGGAATTTCGGGATTCAGGGATTCAGGGATTCGGGATTTTGGGATTCCGGGATTCGGGGATTTGGGGATTCGGGGAATTCGGGAATTCGGGATTTGGGGATTTCAGGGATTCGGGATTCGGGGATTGCGGGATTGGGGAATTTCGGGGATTTCAGGATTCGGGATTCAGAGATTCGGGATTTGGTGATTCGGGATTCGGGAATTCGGGATTCGGGAATTCGGGGATTCGGGATTCGGGAATTCGGGATTCGGGAATTCGGGATTCGGGAATTCGGGGATTCGGGATTCGGGAATTCGGGATTCGGGAATTCGGGGATTCGGGATTCGGGAATTTCGGGAATTCGGGATTCGGGGAATTCGGGAATTCGGGATTTGGGGATTTCGGGGATTCGGGATTCGGGGATTTCGGGATTGGGGGATTGGGGAATTTCGGGGATTTGGGGATTCGGGGATTTCGGGGATTTCAGGATTCGGAATTCAGAGATTCGGGATTTGGGAATTCGGGATTCTGGGGATTCCAGGATTCGGGATTTGGGGATTTCGGGGATTCGGGATTTGGGGATTTCGGGGATTCGGGATTCGGGGATTTCGGGATTGGGGGATTGGGGAATTTCGGGGATTTGGGGATTCGGGGATTTCGGGGATTTCAGGATTCGGAATTCAGAGATTCGGGATTTGGGAATTCGGGATTCTGGGGATTCCAGGATTCGGGATTTGGGGATTTCGGGGATTCGGGAATTCGGGATTTCGGGATTCGGGAATTCGGGGATTTCGGGGATTTCGGGATTCAGGGATTCGGGATTGGGGGATTTGGGATCCGGGGATTCGGGATTCAGCATTTGGGATTTCGGAATTTTGGGGATTCGGGGATTTGGGAATTTCAGGATTCGGGGATTCAGGGATTTGGGGATTCCGGGATTGGGGGATTCGGGGATTCGGGATTCGGGGATTCCGGGATTGGGGGATTCGGGGATTCGGGAATTCGGGATTCGGGGAATTCGGGGATTCGAGATTTGGGGATTCGGGGGTTCGGGGTTCGGGGGTTCCGGGGTTGGGGGGTTTTGGGATTCGGGGGTTTGGGGATTCGGGATTCAGAGATTCGGGATTTCGGGATTTTGAGGAATTTCAGGGATTCGGGGATTTGGGGATTTCGGGATTTGGGGATTCCAGGATTCGGGGATTCGGGAATTCGGGATTCGGGGAATTCGGGGATTCGAGATTTGGGGATTCGGGGTTCGGGATTCGGGGATTTCGAGAATTCGGGGATTCGGGGATTTTGCGGATTCAGGATTTGGGGATTTCAGAATTCGGAATTTGGGGATTCGGGGATTTGAGAATTTGGGGATTCGGGACTTGGGGATTCTGGGATTCCGGAATTTCGGGATTCGGGAATTTTGAGAATTCTGGGGATTCAGAGATTCGGGGTTCCGGATTTCGGGATTTTGGGGAATTTCGGGGATTCGGGGATTTGGGGATTCGGAATTTGGGGATTCTGGGATTCGGGAATTTCGGGATTCGGGGATTCAGGATTTCGGAATTTCGGGATTCGGGGATTTGGGGATTTGGGGATTTCGAGATTCGGGAATTACGGGGATTCGGGATTCAGAGATTCGGGATTTGGGGATTCCGGGATTCGGAGATTCGGGAATTCGGGATTCGGGATTTGGGGATTCCGGGATTCGGAGATTCGGGAATTCGGGATTCGGGATTGGGGGATCCGGGATTCCGGGGATTTGGGAATTCGGGATTCGGGGATTTCGGGATTCGAGATTCAGAGATTCGGGATTTGGGGATTCGGGATTCCGGGATTCGGGATTTCGGGATTTGGGGATTTTGAGATTCGGGAATTACGGGGATTCGGG